ATTTATGTACAGGATGTTCCATAAAACTGACACAGGTGTACCAGATTTTCCCTTATTCATTTTGTTAATTTTTTCATGGAATCTTTTGATGAAAAGTTGTATATTTATTGACCAGCCGCTTTTTAGAAAATCTATATATGTACTGGGCGTTCCACAAAATTGACCCACATCTGCTGAATTACGGGCAATTTTTTCCTTTTTCACTTTTAACTTTGTCTTTATTTACTAGAGTCTTTGAATGAAAAATTGTATATTTATTAACCAGGTGTCTTTTTGAATCTTTATACTGGATGTTCCACAAAACTGATCCAATTACCAACAGAACGAAACTTTCCTTAGGTATATTTGTTTCCATTTCTACAGTTTGTACTGAAGTCTGCAATATTTTTATGAAAAATCTTATTCCCTACTAACCACATGTTTTTTGCAATTTATGTACTGGGTGTTTCATAAAACTGACACAGGTGGACTAGGTTTTTCCTTTTTCATTTAACCAGATGCCTTTTTTGGAAGTTTGGAAGAAACTTTTCTTAGTCTTTCCCCGAGCGGGGCCTACTCTTTTTTGAAAAACGTTCTCATTAAACTTTTATATACGGGGTGTTTAAAAACTAAAGTACAGGGTGTTTCAAAAAATGTTATATTTACTAACCAGCGAGGAGAGCACCGCGGAGCGGTGCTCGGGCCGCGCGCAGCGCGGCTCGAGGGCCGAAGGCCCGAGAGAAAGGTCAAACTTCGCGTCAGCGAAGTTTGCCTACCTTTCTAGTTGTTAATTAAAAAAATAGTATAATATGCAGTGTGCTGCAATACGTACATTACTCGACGTTTTTTGAAATAACAAATTAGAAAAAAATAATGTATAATTTAATATATAAAAATGTTTATTATCACCTACTAAAAATTATTCCATTTTATTCATACAAGTTTACTTTAATAAAAAAATTAATAACGCACTATTTATTAATTCATAATAATAATTCGTTGTTTCTTGCCATTATTATTTATTACAAATTTACTTCAAACCCACATTACTTATAAACGGTTAAATGCATCCAAATTTTCCAAGAGGTCAAATTCATAGTTAATTAAATAATATTTGTGAAAATTGCGTCTATTTAGCGAAAAAAGGAAACTTTGACACTCTGTATCTCGTTAGGGAGGCATCTATAGTAGGATCACAGCTTAATACAGCTGGAAGAGTCCGTGTCGGCGCCTTTGATGTGGCGGTCGAGAACCAAGCGAGACGGAATCGTGCTAACTCTCTCAGATTAAGCGGAATAGTCGGGGCTGGATTAAACGAATTTTTATTATTGAAATAAAATATTTAGTTTCTACCTGACAGTACCATAGTAGGTAATTTTAATAATATGGAATTTGAATTAGAATATTACGTGATGACATTAAAAGTAGAAAATGGGTATTTTAGATAGGTAATAGGCTTTGTACTTGGAGTTGATACGGATTATTAAAAAAAAACTTGAAGAGTAATTAAAATTCCTTGTTGTAAGCTCCTGTTTACTGACGTAATCATTAGAAAAGAAAATGGTTAAAATCGCGTTTTTTCCGAAAAAATCGTTAATATCTCGAAAACAGTAGATTTTAGAGAAAAGTTGCATATGAACATTTTTGTCCAGGATACCCCAAAAAGCCTATAGAAATGTATTTCAAGCGAAAAAATCGAAAATTACGAATTTGTTTAAAAAAAATTGTTTAAACAATTTTTGAGCATTAGTAACGTCTGGCAACATGCGGACATGATTCAAGGGTCATTTTTTTAGTAAGATTATGAAAAAAAATTCGAATGAGAATCATGTTCCTAGCGGGAGCAACGATACAGCCTGGACTAATACTTATACATGTTATAAAACATACCTACAATTTAATATACAAAAAAATATAATAACAATATATATTATTAAAANGGGCTTTTCTGTTTTTAAGTCTGCGTATTGTCAGTCTTAGTTCGTCAGGTGTTGCGGGGGGGATTATGTCATTGTCTGGCTCTCTGTCGACGCGTCGGGCCGCGGGCTCAGCCACTATCTCGAACTCCTCGTCTTCGTCGGGCAGCTGAGGCAGTCTACACTGCAGTTCAAGGCTGTCGGCGAAAGCCTCGGCCTTTTCCGGATTCGTGTAAACCACAATTATACAAAAACGTTGAAATAAATAAAAAATATAAACATGAAATAATTGCATTTATTGGATTAGTTTAATTCAATATTAAAAAATAATATATTTATAAATTTACGTTAATTACAAAATTTTGTTATAATTTACAAATTTACACATTTAGAAAATAGGCAAAGCAGATTCTATAAAATCTCGTTCTATCTGTTTTTTTATACTTTCAACCATTTCATCGCTAGTATTATTTCCTCCAATATCAGGGGTGTGTATCCTTTCAAGGACAAGAGTCTTTCTAATAGCATTTCTGATTAATTCAGCATGGCTATTTTTTTTTAAATAATATAACATGTTAATAGCTGCATTTAACATGCCAATTGGATTTGCAATGGATTCATCTGCAAAATAAGTTAAATGAATAAATAGTACAAGCGTGCAGATAGTACAAGCGTGCTTGTTGATGCTTCCGTTTATTTATTTATTTATTTATTTATTTATTTATTTATTTATTTAGAGTTAAATAATTCTATACCTAATTAAGAAATTACTCAGATTCGAACATGTAATATAAAAGTTACTTTAAAAAAACACATTTGGTTTATATCTGCGAAAAGCAACATTTGCGATAAGGTTGAAAGACGAAGAAATGTAAAACATTTTATTTTATAACTACTTATAAACAAAATCCACGTTTCAATAAAATCATTCCTTACCTTCATAAGATGTAAGTCTAGATGCTACCTCAAACACTGCCATAGATTCCCCATAATTTTGTCCAGAAATTAAACCCGGACCTCCTACAAGTCCGCACAATATATTAGTAATCACGTTACCATAGAGATTAGGCATTATTAAAACATCGAATGTTTCAGGTTTCGAAACTATCTGCATGCAACAATTATCAACGATTAAATGATCTACTTTTACTTCAGGATACTGCTTTGCAACGTTCATTACAGTTTTTAAAAACAATCCGTCGGATAATTTCCTAAAAAGATAATAAGTTGTGTATAGTTCTTCCGAAGTCAGTTAAACATGCATAAAAAACGAGCAATCAAATTTAATGAGTTTCATGTGCGTCCCTAAAAAAGTTTTCTGCTAAAGGTAGAAAATTATAATAATATTGTATATAATGTGTAGAAAATTTCTATTATATGTTCATTTGACCAACAACATATTTTAATTATTTATGTCCTCAAACAATTTTATTATATTGATGGTAAAGTTCGTTTTGTTCCATTTTAAAAGGTCTCCAAAATGCCATGTTGTATTAATATTTATAAACCAAATATCCCTCTAATTTTTCCCTTTCGCAATTGTAATATGAATGATTAATAGAAGGGTGCCTATAACAAATTAAAATTATCTGAATCACGTCAAATTCCGCATGCCTGCACTGCACTCCTAGGCGACTAATCGACAACTGAATTTTGACAACGCAATGGACCAGAGAAACAGTGCGCATTGCTCTTTGTCCGCACGCTCATTCTTCAACTGAACGTATACATTTCTACCACCTGCACTTTTCGTTCGACCAGATCTGTATATGGGTATGGCTAAATAAATATGGGAACAAGTATTTTAAATATATCAATGCCGAGTTGCTACTTAGCGACCGAGCCTGGTACATACCTTGAAGATATTGGTTCTTCAATTGACTTCGGAAAAACTATAACCTTATGATTTACTAAATATAAGATATAGGTATCATTCCGCTCTATTTTATTCTTTCAGCTCAAGCACACATCGACGCATTACTACGAAAACATGCTATCTCAAATTTAGCTTGGAAAAAATGCTATCTAAAATTATTGTACTTGGAAAAGATGCTATCTAAAATTGTGCGTGGAAAACATGCTACCTCAGATTAAACTGTTTATTTTATTTTTTTCATTCAACATTTTTCAATTAATTTTGTTAACTTACTACTATAAACGACAAAATCAATATATATTAAAATCTGATAGCTCCGTCTGCGTCGCACTATCGGCCCGAAAAAGGGCCGACTTTGGATTGCAAAGGCTTCGCCCCCGGATCGCGCAGCGATCCCCGGCGAAGCCCGAAGGGCTTCGCCTTCCTAGCTACGTCGCGCCGTCGTATTTACAACCCGGCGTCTCGACGTCTTCGAGGCGATTTTTCCCGTTTTCCGGAAGCCTACGGGGGGCGTGGCCCAATTTTTGTGTGAACGGCGATAGTCCGACACGCCCTCCCGCTGAAAGCTGACGGTCGTCGATCGCCTGGAATCGCGCGCGGTTACGGCTTTTTTATTTTTTATTTCCCCCATTTTCTACGATATTTCATTTAAAACTGTGCCGAAAATACTCATATTCGTCGACCGGGTGCCTTCTTCCAACTTTTTATGTACAAATTTCCGCGAAATCAAACGCGGGATTCGAAATGCGGCCGTAAATACGTTAAAATGCACTGTCTAGGAAGGCCGAAAAATTGTGAATTTTGCCGCATAAAATTTCTTCTTCGCGAGCCTCGAAACGGCGTGCGACTTGGCACAG